ATGAAAAATGATCAAATTAGAATTACAATAATGAATGATTTTATTAGGTATATGCAAATTTCAGTTTTATTTACACAATGGTATTGAATGGATTATAATTTTGCATCGATGGTTTACTATCGAAGAGAATTTATGCACAAAAGGAACTTACTCAAAATTTGTGACTGTAATATCAATTACCGAAGAAATCTACCATTAATGAAAGTATTTATTATCTGTTTTTAGAAACATGAATTGGGAAATCTAAATGCTAAGGTTAGATTTCATTAAATTTAAAATAATAGAAATTGTATTCGATTAAGATTTTGTTAGTTCAGATATTCAATATCCCCTGAGAAGAATGATCGAATCAGAATTGCAATGATGAATGATTTCATTAACAAGCATTCTTAAATTACAATTTCTTTCTTTCTTCGATATGAGATATGTGTTAAGATGGAGATGCTGTTTAAATAGTTTGAAATTTATGAATTGCATAGTAGCTTTAATAAAAGTATTTTATTTTCATCAAAGTAACAAATTGCATAAGAAGTTTTGCAAGGAGGTTTTGAGGTAGGAAACGCACAGATGAACTGCAGTCCAAATAACCCAACAATATCAACCTCCAATGTAGAGGTGGACAATGATAATACCTTAGGTACTGGGTGGAGTCAACCATTATTATCCTTTCGTATTTTACTTTGCGCGGCGTAGGCGGGTCATTAGATTTGATTTTATCCAAAAAACAATTTTTGCATATGAATTAGAACTTACCTTGAAACGATGAATAATGAGCAGGAAGTAGTGATCATATCAATTACAGCTTGGAAAAAGTTGCTATTGTGAATCGATGGTTTGGAATTTTTTATTTTTTCTCAAGTATAATTAGGTAATTTTATATAGGTAATTTTTTCTCTGTAAATTATCAAATATAATTCGACGCATCGGTGATTCTATTCGTTGGATTCAGAATATGCAATCTCTTCGCCAGCAGCACTTTTAAATATTTTTCGAAATAATCACGGACGATTTGTTCACTGATATTACACGAATCTTTCAATGGGCACGGATTTTGAATCGCTTCTGTGTGTTTATTTGTAGAAAGCAAAACAAATGTATTGAGTGAGAATGGAAATATATTATATGAATTGAAATGTTGGAGATGATTGGAATGCAAATTAGTTGAAGTTTCCGGACGACTGTTTTGTAATTTCCGTCGATAAATCGGTTATTGAAATTCTTTTCTGAATTAACAAAACATTCACATAGCATTAACATCAAAAATTATAACATTGATAATTTTTTCTTCTTGAAATTGATATAATTCTGCAATGAAATGATACCAATCAATGAAATTAAATCATTTGTAATTTCAATTGTAAGTCACAGAAATGCATGCATGTTTGTTTGTTTGTTTATTTATTAATTTGTCTGTGAATTGTTGTAACGAAATGCTTATTGATGTTATCATTAGCTTTATTCATTCTGACATTGGCATTCCATCAATGTGCCAAACATTATAACAACCATANNGAAATATCACCCACATATTTCAAATAATGAAAAAAAAAATTAATAAATCATCACAACAGTTGTCACAAGCCAAAAAAAAAAATCAGTAACCTAAATAGGAATTACATTAAATCAAAAACATATTAAATAAGAAATAAGAAAAAGTAATTCAAAAATATACCAAATAGGAAATTGTATCAGAGTACAATTGTTTACAAATACGATTTCTTGACAAAGGGCCCGCTTGATGATAGGAATGAAAAAAAAAATCAAATTCAATTCCTTTGCATTATAAATCTAAAAGAGTGAAACAATTCTGCACATTACACAAACTATTGCATAAAAACAAATAATACTAAAATAAGAAATGAAATAAGGAATTATAACAGAATGAAAGCAAATAATTAATCATCACTATTTGATTGACAAGATAACAGCTGATAATAGTCCCGATTGAATTAGTTCAATGAGAAATTGAAATAATGAAATAATAAGAAATGAAAGCAAAATAAGGCAAAAAGTTTTCATGCGATTCAGGTATTTGGCTGCGTACTGGCTTGCATTAGCATCAACGCCGTTACGCTCATCATGCATTTGTACAGAATTTCGTTTATTCCGTCGTAAAAAGCCGTCAAATGAACTCGAAGACAATTGCACAATTTGGCTGCAATCTGCAAAAAACACCTGAATTATTTGTGAATGAAGTAAAATAGAGCTCACATAATTTCCTCTTAATTTAAAACTTAGCAAACTTGTTTAAATACGTTTTGAATTTTATCGGTATCGGCCATTCCCATACAGTTTTGCAAGGAACAGAACGCTGTCAGAATTGCCATTTCCTCTTCCTTAACGTCGAATCCCAAACCATTCACGCATTGTTGCAACGCTTCGCTTCGAACACCCACAATTGCTTCGTAGTTTTCCGTTGTGAAGGAAGTACGCAAAGTCTGTGCGAGGTAAAAGTTTGTTTAATGATAAATTTCCAGTTTACATCACTGAGTCCGATTGACCGGTGTTTAATTCCGGTATCGCATGAGCATTAATAGATTCTGGAAGACTTACTCAATGAATTGTTCTTAAGTCATCAGAAATGAAAAAAAAAAAAAAAAACTAAAAGAGCGAGAAATCACCAGAGCTGCATAAACACCGTTGTCAATCGCTCTCTCTCGATCTTTCTCATTAATTTCTTTCATCATCGGGATATTATTCAAGAATATATGAATCCTTTCCACAGCCTCGCTTCGATTACTGATAGTTAGTCCCGCGGGAAATGCTTCGCGATAGGCACTAACAACAGTAGCCTTCAGCTTTTTCATTTCTTCGATCTCTTCCACTTCTTTTTCTCTGAAAATTATCACATATTTCTCTCAATTAATCATTTATGAATTAAGCGACAAAATCTCTTCCATTCTGATCTCTGATGCATTATATTTACCTGCTTTCATCCTTTTTCCGTCGTCGATTTCGATCCAAACGCACCGATTCCTGACGCATGCCTAACTGAAGACATTTCTTAAACCGACAGCTCTGACATCTGTTCCGGTTTTTTTGATCGACTAGACAGTTACCTTGCTTGTAGCATACATATTCTATTTTCTTCTGGATTGTCCTTCGGAAGAAACCCTATAAGTTCCACATTCACCAGTCGACTAGTAATTACTGAATTTCTCATCCTTTCAAGTAATCCGTCATTCGACACTTTGTTATTTGAATCAAACAATGTACGTGTAATGGATGTAACGTACCTTACATCCTTCGCAACTTGGAACACTGTAATGATTTCCTGAGGCTTTATCACCACATATTGCACATAAATTATTATCTTCATCTTGATTTGAATCCAACGAAGCTAATGGTTGCCGTGGTATACCAAAACAATTATAGACTGCAGGTGGGATTGCTCGTCCATCTGGTGTGATCAATATTCCGTTCGTTGTTATAGTATATCCCGGTAGGCTTTTGAAAGGTGCACGAATAGTTGAAGATACCGGTGTTTGTACCATTTGTTGCATAGCTGAAAAATAATTGTGGTAAAAGTTAGAAGGAAACAATTGGAGCAAAAAGTTTCATACCATTCCGGAACTTATTGCCGGATATATTGATAATCACCAAATGTTGGGCAGCAGTATCTCTTCTTCCCCTATTTCTTTTGGGCAATAGTGATTTTTGCAAAATGCTACCCAATTTTGAACTGTATTTCTATTTATCTCATCAATGAATGTGAGAAGTAACATACTTTGTTGCGGAACCGGATATGGCAGTATGTTAGTGGCCGGCATTACCGGCAGTAAATTTGTCGTTGCCCGCTGCGGACTGATTGCTCTTGTTTGCTTCAATATCATAGCTGTTGGTTCCGTCACGTGCTTTAACGCATCTATTTCTCCTTTTCCTTCATTTCCTACCAGAATATTGCTTACGGTAAATGAAGTAGGCCAAGATGGCTTGTCAAATGACATCTGTTCCTGTTTATCCGTCGAATTTATGCTCATCGAAATTCCGGAATCTAAATGGGGCAGTGACGATGTACTGGTCATATCAGCAGCAGCACTTAAGCTAGAATTCCTTGATGTATTCTCATGCGTTAGAATAATTCTCTCCATTTTCGTTTCATATTTTGAATTCTTCCCGTTCAGGCGTTCTTGAATTGTCCGCAACGGTGTGATTGTCGCTTGGTCGACCTGAAAAAGGTTTGTTTCACGTAGTAACGTGAAATCTGGGGGTCTAAAAGTTTGAGAGATCAAATCGTCTTTCTTACTTTCAAACTATCTATCTAAACTGAACTTTAATGAATGAAAGTAGCAGAAATCAGAAATGAACTCAAAATTACTACCGTTTCTGCAACATTCTTCCTTCCACTTTCGTCTATTTCCAATTCATTTTGCTGTTGCTCAAAGCTATTTTCCGTCGATGCCGGACAGTATGGATGCGGCGACAGGACGGGTAATATTTCGGCTGTTGTTTTGTTTGATGAATTACTTTCGGAACGAGAAGGAGTAGTATCAGTATTGGATGCATTATCGCCTGGTCGAACTTTCATCAGTACCGATTCAGAGAACGGAACACTGAACGAGGAAGCAAACGATCGTTTCTGTCCAAGCAATCTGGAAGATTGTTGATCAGAAGAAGTATTACGATCTGTTACTGTATCAGAGAGCGGAAATGGAGCCATATTGGTGAGTGTCAGATAGGTTCGATGATGCTGATCCTTTTTTTCTTCTTCTTGTTTTTGTTGTTGTCGATGATTTTGCAACGATTCTTTCTGTTGATCATATTTTTGAACCATTGAAAAGACCGCTTGTGGTAACGGCGGTAATGGCATATTTTCGGCTGCCGCTGCATTCCTCGCATGTTCCATTAAATGTTCCGTGAGATTTGCGTAATGCATCGCTGCTTCGTGCGCTATTTTGGCTTGTTGTTCAAATGACAGCAAATATCTGTACGGTTGGTCATTCACTAAGGGTGGCGGAATGCCGGATGACGCTGATGGCTCCGCATTACTGTTTGCAGCCATTGGAAGCAATGATGTGTGTCCTGCTGCTGCTGCTGCTGCTGCTGCCGCCGCCGGAATAGTTGGAGTGATGGTTCCGTGTGATTGTAAGAATCGATCAAATGTTGTTCCATTCGCACTGATGCCCATTGCGTTGTATAGCCGAAACGGATTTGAGGAAATCGCTGCGGCAGAATGAAATCGCGGATCATTACTGATCATACTAGCATATGGTGAAATGTTAGTAGGCTGTAAAAGTGGTGGATTAAATCGGTCGGTTGGAAATAAAACGTTCCGATTGTCGTTGTTATTGTTGTTGTTGAGTATACGATTATTTGTATCATTGATAAATGGGAAAGGATTGTTTAAGGTGTTGAGAACTGGTGGGGCACAATTGTTGATTGATGTAAATCCGGTATGCATCGTCGTGTTAGCCGTAGAACCGGTGGTAATCGAACTCGGCATACGAAATGAACTCGAACTCTGCTCCTGTTCGTTTGAACTTGCTCTCGAAATGTGTTGTCGTGACATTTTCTTCCTCTTCGAAATCAACTCCAGGACTGTTTAGACGTGCAGAACGAGAGATTTCTGAGACAGAACTCAGATATCCAATCTAACCGGTTAACCGGGTTGCTTCTGGGAAAAGAGCACATGCACCGGAAAGGCAGTGAAACGGTTGCAGTTGTTTGCGGATAACGGTAACAACGAGAAGCGATGCACGGATCGCCACAAGTCACTGCACTGCAGGGTAAGGGGTGATCATCCATTGAGGTGGTGCGGTTGAGATGTGATGCAATGTGATGAGATCGGTGAACTTGACCTCATGGCAGGTAAGTTATGGAAAAATACCTGTAAACAACATAGATGCAGAGGGCAATTCTTGCCATTTTGGATGTCAGCAATGTGGGGGATAAGCAAAAGTTTAGTGGACCACAAATGTACCCGAGGGGACCCGAGGTTCGGTTGAAATTGTCTTGTTGTGAATTTAAATGTTCATGGAAACACTGCAAGTTAGATGGATAAATGGAAAATTGAAAAATACTTTGTTGTCATTATCTTTCAGGAAATTCGAGAATGAAAAAATTTTTTAATTTTGGTCCGCTTTTTACACATTAACAAAAATATAAACTTTATGCTTCATTTTATCCATCAAATTATAGAAAAAATTGCTCCACAACAATTAAATCCTCTCACTCTCTCTAACATATCCTTTAAAGAGGAAAGGAAAGGTTAAGAAAAGTGGAAGGAGGGGAATAGCATTTAGAGAAAAGGAAAAATATCACTCACAATACGGAGAGGACAATTTCAGGTAGTACCACAAAGAGAAGGCAAAAACATCGAAAGTAAATTCCTTCTGTATTAGCTGACGTAACAACCATTGTCATTCGTGTTCTCCCTAAATTGCAGTGTACTTCGCTTACCGTATAACTGTTGTAATGGTGTAGTGACCACTCGACAAATTTGACCCGAAGTCCGACCAACTGACCATAATGCCATAACCGTTCTCTTTAACAATGGCAAGAACATGTCCTCACACTGTACAAAAAGTCTTTTTCTCTCTTTCTCTCTCTCTCCCTCTTTCTTTTTGCACTTCTTACTGTGTGTTTCCTTGTTATTGCTCAATGATAAGCAGCACTGATTGATGATAAATTTATTTTGAAAGTATCCAATTTTGAGATTCACGATGAGAACTGCCCGGATCCATTTTGATGGTTGAAGGAGCAAAATATGATGACAGTAAATTCTCGAATGATTAAATCAGTTTGTGTCACTTCGAAATTCTGTAAACATGAAAGTTAGCTTGTATCAATCCCTCCAATTTTAGCTTAATTTTTTGCGTTCCCAGAAATCGCTGCATCCCTCAATTTGCTCTCTCGGGTCAACAGATGCAAAGAAAAGAGATGTCAGGGACCAAATGTTGTTTACAGTTTAGGTCCCAATGACGTCACAGCTATGCCCTCAACAGGTATGTTCCCGCCGATTCTACACATGCCTGCTTCTGAATATTTTGAAGAGGGAGAAGAGGAGTGTATTTTGATGTAGTGATGATTAGATAATATGAACTTATGGAAAAGTGTGCCGGAATATGAAATAACTATTTAACCTTTGACCTGTCCACTTCACCCCATTTCCAATCATATTTCTCACTTCACTAACTCTTTCGCTTTAATTATCCGACATGAAACTCTCATAAAGTTTCACTTTCCAACTCATTTTAGGAAAGTTTTAAATCAATCAACAGATCTCCTTGTCATTTATTGCATTGTTTATGCTTCACAGGAAAGTACCATTAACTGCGAATAATCATTTCTCTGCGAATCTCTTCTCCCTCCTTTAATTTTTCTCACTCCAACCGAGCAATAAATAACACATCACAGGGACGATGTAATGCAAAAATTCAATAATGCAATAATACAAATGAACTTTTTCCCTTTTCCGCAACTGTTCAATGAATGCGTGAAGTGAAATTAACTTTACTAAATTCATTTTAAATTTAACAAATTCATGATCCATTCCAACGACATTTCACCACAGTGTCTTATTTTCAGCTCAGATTTTTCGTTTTATTTAATAATCTGCACAAATTTTTTTTCTTCCATAAAAAGCAATCATTCATAGTTTTTTTTTTTCAATCAATACATTTATTTATTTTTTAATTTATACATATCGTTTGATTTCTGCACATGAATCATAAACTATTAACATGTTATTAAATCTGATTATTTCAAATCAATCTGCTGCTTGTGATTCTTGCCCTTCGGCATCGTTTGAACTGACGATACTGCTTATAATGCACTTCCATCTTCACTAAATCTCCTTCACCGCTGTACAACACTAATAAGCACGTAACACGCAAATCTCCCGGTCCACTCTCAAACTCTACACGTGACTGATAACCGATAATCGATAACAGCGACGAAAATATTACAAAAGCTGTACAATTCACAATCACTGAAACTAATGTATATTTAAAAAATTTTTAATGAAATGTGCAGAATACTTTACTTGAAAGAAGTATCAGTTTTAATTTTAAACGTTTGCTAAATCAAACCGCTCACTAACTGTTAAAAGATCATAGAGTAGTAAAATGAACCTTGACCAACGGACAGGTTACGTATATTTAAAATCTGTTTAATCATAAAAAAGTTTAGATTAAATATGTTTGAATTTATTGGAAAAATAACCTAAAAGCACAAAAAAAATTGCAGCATTAATGCTGGTACTTATCTTTCATAGTACTCATTATGAATTAATAATGAATTAATATTAAATTACAATTTTTTTTACCTTTGAAGTTGTAAAAATATACTGATAATATGGAAAGCTGAAAAAGATCAAAGACTTCTTGATAAGATACTAAATGCTTATTATTCAGTGAATTATTTCAGTTCTCTTCAATTTCTGACTCTGCAAAACTATTGTATATAATAATTCAATTATATTGCTTGATGGATTGAAATTAATTTTCAAATATTGGAAAAAACCAATAAAATTTGTTGTCTCAAGTTTTTTATGTTCTATTGATGAAAAATCATGTCCTCAAATATTACAGTAAATCAATGTCTACAAAATGGTAAAAATAACAAACTCATATTCATCTTGCAGATAATAAAAATTTTACATAAATTACGGGATCCCCTATTCTAAACGGATGTTTGAATAATAGTTTTTAATCTTCTTTTGAATGTTAGAAATTTCTCATCGAAGAAGCGCATTATTTACCGTAATTCAAATATGTTATATATTCCGATTAACTTCGGCAAACTATGTAAATAAATGCATATATATATA